CCGCGCCCGGCCGCGCCCAGTCGCTGCGCCGGTCCCGGGGCCCCGCGGGGAGCCAGAAGGGCGCGACGAGCGCGAAGGCGTCGTCGCCGCCGGGCCGCCGCGGCGCCGCGCGCGCGTCGTCGTCGCCCGGCGCGCGCCGCGCCGCGCCGAGCGCGTCCGCGACGGCGTCCGCCGCGGCGCGGCGGCCGCCGCCGGGCCCGTCGCCGACGAGCTGCGTCGCGTAGGCGAGCTCGAAGCCCTCGCGGAGCGCCGCGGCCGCGCCGCCCTTGCGGCAGTGGCCCGCGAGCGCGGCCGCGGCGTCGAGCGCGCGGCAGAGCGTGCGCAGCGAGTAGCGCGGCCGCAGCCCCGCGCCGTCCTGGAGCGCGGGGCCGCCGCCGCCGCCCGCCGCGAGGGCCCCGAGGGTCCGGTGGAGCGCGACGCACGCGCGCGCGGCGTCGCGCGCCGCGCCGGGCGGCGCGGCCGCGACGGCGCCGTCCGCGCGGTGGCCGAAGAGCGGCGCGAGGCGCCGCGCGGCGATGGCCTCGAGGTCGCCGTCGTCCGACGGCTCCTCGACGAAGAGCTCCGTGAAGCGGCTCCGCAGCGCGGGCGGCAGCTCGCGCTTGCCCGCGTCGCCGGCCGGATTCATCGCGCCGAAGACGCGGAGCGCGTCGTGCGCGCGGGGGAAGTCGCCCTCGAGCAGGGGCCCGAGGCGCTGGAGCACGTCGCCGGGCGCGAGGTTGAGCTCGTCGAGGAGCACCCAGTCGCCGCGGCGCGCCGCGGCCGCGAGCGCCGACTCGACGAACGCGAACGCGACCGGGCCCGCGGCCGCGCCGCGGCGCGCGCGCGCGGCGACGGCGCGCGCGGCGTCGCCCGCGGCGGCCCAGCGCGCGCCGAGGTCGCCGCCGCCCCGGGCGGCGTCGTCCCGCGACCGCTTCGCGCCGCCCGGCGGCGGCTTCCTCGCGGCCGCGGCGACGCCCGCGGCGCACGCCTTCGCGCAGCCGTCGCCGAGCTTCGCCCAGCGGCCCCGGGCGGCGCAGTCGCGGAGCCGCGCGAGGAAGGGGCCGTTGTCGCGCGCGTCGAAGGTCTCGCCGAAGAGCGCCGACACGTCGTCGAAGAGCCGGCGAGCGGCCTCGGCGAGCGCGAGCGGCCGGACGCCGCCGAAGAGCTCCTCGCCGTCCGTGCCGTGCGACAGGTTGAGCACGCGGAGGTCCTTGCCCGCGAGGGCCGCGAGGCGCTGGACGAGCGTCGTCTTCCCGCAGCCGGGCTCGCCGACGAGGAGGCAGGGCTCGCGCGACGCGGCGCACGCGGCGACGCGCTCGAGGAGCCGCGCGAAGTGGGGCGTGCACGCGTAGGCGCCCTCGGCGGCGCCGCCGGCGGCGGCGGGGAGCGCGACGCGGCCCGCGCGCAGCGCCCCGCCGGCGGCGGCGACCTCCGGCGCGCCGCCGAGGGCCCGCGCGCGGAGCGCGCCGCGGTCGACGCCGAACGCGTCCGCGGCCGCGTCCGCGGCCGCGGCCGCGCCGCCGTCGCGGCGCCGCGCGTGGAGCACGTCGAGCACCTCGAGGGCCGCGGCGAAGCGGAGCGCCTCGGGCACGTGGCTCCGGCCCGGCGCCAGCGCGCCGCCGCCGAAGACGCGGTCGCCGAGGCGCGCCGCGATCTTGAGGAAGTCGCGCGAAACGACCTGGGCAGGAAAAGGGTGATTCAAGTTCGCTTCAATATGAG